TACATCCATCCTTACATACATACATCCATCCTTACATACATACATCCATCCTTACATACATCCATCCTTCCATACATCCATCCTTCCATACATCCATACATCCATACATCCATACATCCATCCTTCCATCCTTCCATACATACATACATACATACATGCATGCATTATCTTTACTCACTTTTTCCTTTTTGGGTCATGGGGGTCACTGGTGCCATATCCAGCTGTCACTGTGCGAGAGGCGGGGACACCCTGGACAGGTCTCCAGTCCATTACAGTGACACATAGAGACAAACAACCATTCACTCTCTCACTCACACCTAGAGACAATTTAGAGTTACCAATCAGTCTAACATGCATGTTTTTGGTCTGTGGGAGGAAACGAGTAGAAAATGCACGGAGAGAACATGCAAACTCCACCCAGAAATGCCTCTGGCCAGGACTTGATCCGGCGACCTTCTCGCTGACAGGCGGCCGCTGTACTAACTGAGCCACCATGCCGCCTCTGAGATACATCTTCCAGAATATTTCTGCCAAACATGTAAGATGAAAATCAGTTGGTGGAGCTGTTGTGCCTCAATGAGAAAGTTGCCGGAGCAAATCCTGGCCAGTGGCCTCTCTGGGTGGAGTTTGCATGTTCTCTCCGTGCATGCGTGGATTTTCTACTCCGGTTTCCTCCCACAGATCAAAAACATGCATGTTAGACTGATTGGTAACTTTAAATTATCTCTAGGTTTGAGTGAGAGAGTGAATGGTTGTTTGTCTCTATGTGTCCCTGTGATGGACTGGAGACCTGTCCAGGTGTCCCCCCGCCTCTAACACAGTGACTGCTGGACATGGGCACCAGTGACGCCTGCGACCCAAAAAGTAAGTGGATAAAGATGATGGATGGATGGAAAGCGACTGCAGTGTAAATGTTTAGCGTTAGCATGAACTGTTGTGCAGTTTTTATGTTGTCAGTTATTTTATGACTACAAGTTGACACTTTGGAGCAGAGTCTGCTTGGACTAAGACCAGCTCGTCAGTACTCTGCGCAGCCATCATCGTGGTAATCTTATCCGGGTTAAAGGACACCTTTGACCCTGAAAACTGCCCTGACATGACTTCTGTTGTGACTTGGTGCTGTACAAATAAACTGCACTGAAAACTCACTTTCAGCTCGATGTAACGGGCTCCGCTCATGGTCTCACTTCATATCCCCATCTATTTTATGATTTTAACAGAATTTATCGTGTATTTTAGTAAAGATGCTAATTGTTTGTCCTTCTTGTTTTCAGGTTGCACACAAGCTGTTCCACAAGGTGAAATGACCCGTTGGCTCAGTTCCCTACAGTGCATCTTTACACAATCTATTTAAATTTTTGATAATCACCAACTATTAAACCTGCTCTGCTGACTCGTGTTGGACTACGTGGACATTCTTTGTTTGATCACCTACCAGTTTGTGCAACAGACTTGAAATGTTGTGTAAAGTACAGCCTGTCACAAAATTATACTGTATTAATAAAACAAGGAACAAAACAGTTTGAGCTGTCACTCATTCAGCTCTGTCAGAGTTATCCTTCTCTGAAATCCACCATATTTAGCATTTTAACAGTTTAGATAAACTCCTCGTAAGACAAATTGCAGTTTGCAACGATGCTACAAGTCATTAAAATACAAACTCCTTCCTTAGATATAAACTGGTTAATAAAGGCCTCACGTCTTTATTAGAGGTCACAAATATCCAACTGTCTGGTCATTTTTCACATTCATTCAAATAATTTGGTAGAACTGCAAGAAACAGGGGACACCCTGGACAAGTCTCCAGTCCATCACATGGACACAGACAAACAACCATTCACACTCAGGGACAATTTAGAGTTCTAGACAATTAGTTTTAAATCTTATTTAATAAATTAAATTGTATAAATGCTTCAAATAAATAATATAACATTGAGTTATTTTATTTTACACTTAAAAGTATGTTTTGTGGCTCTGGAAAATTTCTATTGAATGAAAAGCAGAGCATGAACATGTAACTTGTCAGGATAACTTCTTGCCCATAAAATGACACTGGGTCAAACCCTGGAGCTCACGACAAGCGCCTGCTGGCTGAGACTCCAGGCTTGAGGCTCGGCCGCCACCTGCAAGGAGGTTTATTCAATTCAGAAATACTTTATTAATCCCAAAGGGAAATTAAACATAACTTGTTATCCTCATTTCGTTGAGATGCTATAGAATATATAACATCTATAATATCGATACTGATGGCTGTAGGCAGGAAGGATCTCTTGTAAACGTCCATCCCACAGTGGATCCTAAGAAACTGGCCGGCTAATGGCCGGATTTCCAGCTTGAGAGCGAGACAGCCCACCGGTTCACCTCAACTTAACGTTAGTTGAAAGAGATTACATCCAATCACATTATTGTCTTGACCAATCACTAACAGGAAGGCGGATCTTAGAACAGCAAGCAGTGCGTATGCGGCTTCACAGTCAAATCAAATGCAGAAGATGGAGTTCATCACACAGGTGTTGTGCCCAAAACTGATCGGGTGAAATCAGAAGGAGCGTGCCATGGGAGTGCAGCGGGACTGGATCTTTGGGATGAACACTTTAATTTTGTTGTTGCGGATGTCTGATTCTGTGGCTGTGATCATCTCCACCAGAGGAATTCTTCTTGGTGCAATCGCACAGTTCAGTCCTCTGGCAAGACTCTCTGTCTCCGGCTGGATGAGCTGTCTGTCAGATAAATTCTGGAGTGTTGTCTTACACTGAATGTGTTGTTCTTGCCAATTCTAGTTGGCAGCTCAGAACATGCGCGCTCCTTCGCGGGGGCACGCTCGATTTCACCCGATCACTTTTTGGCACAACACCGGCAAGGCTCGCTGCAGCCAGGTTATATGCTTCTGACACCAATGCTAACATTTTCATCAGTGTTTAAACAGTCTGTGTTCACTAAAACATTTTCACTGCACAGAACATCTTTGTGTTGATGCTGTGAAATGATTAGAACTAATTAGAATTTGAATGCTAGGAGTCCTAAAACCAGCTCTGTGGAACTTATTTCTTTTAAATTGTGATATTGAGTATTCTAAATTTATGACAAATTAATTGAAATGTGTCTGTTCAATGTGGTGTGTTGAGGTTTTTTTTTGTTTTTTTTTTTGCTGTGGGGCAGTACTCTGGGGTACATATTTTACGTTGTTAAGTTCAAATACATTGAAACCTTATTCATTGTTACTTGAAGCTGAATTGTTTGTTGTTAAAAGCAGTTGTCTGCAGTTTTTAGAGAGCATTTTTAATAAACATTGGCATTATGTCATGATTTTATTCTATCAACACCACACAAAAAAAAATTCAGGCTCAGGATTTTTTTTTCCACTTTAAGCCCTCCCCAGGTTGCAAGACTACCCGAATACTGGGCCGAACTCCTCCCTGAGCAATGGTCACTCCTCCCAGCAGTTTGCTGAGTCATCACTGCGGACAGCCGGCTGCAGGTGCCGGGGAACAATCCTGGTCTTTCTGCTGTCACAAGATGTGTTTCCTGCTAGTTCCAGAATCTCAGTGGTCAGGCACTCGAGCACAGCCTGCAGGGAGACGGGAATGCATCTCCAGCATCTCCTTTTTAACTTATTTGAGATTTGGGGCTGTAGTTGAGATATTCTTTGAGTTTTGAGATGTTAATCAGCAGCTCCCGGTTGTAAAAAACCATCGAGATCAGGTTTCAAGTGTACCGGGGGCAGACAAGAGAGGGTCTCTGCATGTGCAGACTCCTGGCTGCACAGATGTGAAACATCTCTGGCAGGTAAGAAGCCAGTTGGTGCTTGTGTGTGCCATTGAGACAACTGGAACCCAACATCTGGAGAAGGACTAGTCTTCCCTACTTTGGTTGCACAGGGAACACATGAAATGGAAAATTCTGTTTGACTAAAACTTTATTTGATTACATGTGCAGGATAAAAATATAAAATAAACATAATAAAAGTTACAGTATTAAACACAAGGTGGCAGTGGGACTCAAAGTGTGGGAGGAAAGAGTTCTGCTTTAAAAAAAAAAGCCACAAACAATAATTGTGCACACGGTGCATGCAGTTTTATAAGATGCAGGAGCATTCTTCAGGCATTTTCTTTGTTGTTGCAGATATAATCATCCATGGAAGCCTGCAGAAAGCACAGAGAATGTTTGCAAAACTGAACAGAAGACTTTCTAATGGTTCTTAATACTTCTAAATCATTTCTGTGCACATTTATAGCTGCTGTTGGAGGCATGCATGCAACGTTCATGGTCATATGTGTCATCAAATGGGGCTTTTACTATTTAAATAGTTTTTATGGTGCAGTGATTATACAACTTTCATGCTCAAATAGATACAAAAAGTCCCCTATGAGCTTCCCGTTAGTGATCCTGATCAACTGCAGCTGATAGTTTATGCCAGCATGAGAAGGATCGGACTGACAGCACAGACTGAACTGACCAGCACTCAGAACAATGGGAACTCAGAGATCCAAGAAGGAGAACTGAAGATTTACACAAGTTGGAAAAGTCTTGGAGCCAATTTTCAACATCCTCATTTTTTAAGATGATCAGTTCAAATTAATAAGTAACACCAGTTATCCAGATGTGTCACCAATTCGCCAAAATCTGGAAGAAAACCCATACAGTCAAACTCCGATGAGAATTAAGTTAGTTTGTTCAGGAACAGAAGAACCAACAAGGCGCAAAGCCACCATGAACTGGAATCTACTTCACTGTGCATTGATGGTTCCTGCCTCACTGCAGACCAGTGACACAGGCGTTCACTGTTCACTGGTGAAGCCACTTTACATCACAATAAACTAAGATGCCACCTTAGAAGCTCCAGCTCCAAAAGACACATTTTTAAGATGGACCCAAGTCTGAGGCGGTCAACGTGGACTGGAAAAATTTTCATGAGAAACTATCCTGATTCATGCTCCATAATCCAGGAAGAAAAATCAGCATGCTGATGAAGTCCTCTGGATGAAAGACGAAACATTTTAACAAAAAGAAACCGTTCAGAGGACCTAAATTAACTTTGTTAGATTTCTTGAGAAAAGTTTTATGGTGGCAGCACGGTGGTTCAGTTGGTAAAGCCTCTCAGCAAGAAGGTCGCCGGATCAAATCCTGGCCCACGGCCTTTCTGTGTGGAGTTTGCATGTTTTCACCACTTGCTCTTGCCGAGGTCGGACACTTTTCCCTCCCCTCCCTCTCTGCTTTGTTTTGCTGCTCTATCTGTCTGTGAAACTGCTTCTGAGCCTCTCTTGCATTTCTTCTGAATCATAATTATGGACTTGTTTTGATCAGTTGGTCCCTCAACACAATTTACAACATTTCTTCAAAGAGAAGACAGGCTTTAGGCGAGCCAATTTGCCCTGTTGGCACGCACGCAGCTGGATATCTCATTGACTTGAAGACTTGACGATGTGTCTATCTCTGCTGCCATTTGTGGATTTTAAGGACGCATATTTAATTGGATTTACGATAACTGCTTCTTGCTTTTTGGATTTGGCTGGTTGCTGGTTTTATCTACAATCAAGGAAATCGTCGGCAGCAAATTGGGACCCGATCACACTGCTTGCCTTTATGATGGCTTGGTTTGTGCCTCGAGTACCCAGATTCAAATGCTTTGGGCAGAATGGATCAGATCTCGGGGATTTTACTCAAGCACGTTCCATCGGTGTGGCCATGTAATTTGGACATTTCGGAACCGAGTGGACCAACCCAAACTCAAGGGAGATGTCATTAAGTTCTGCTTGTCCCCAAAACAACTGTGTGTTTATCTGAATCTGGCTCCCCTGGCTGGTCTTGCAGGCCACCTTATCTGAATTTGCCTGGAGAACATGTGATCTGACCCCCCCGTCTATTTTCATTACTTTTTGTCTGTCTAAACAGATCTCACTTGTAAATGAGTCTCATAGGCTCAATGTGACTTATCTGTCTAAATAAAGGTTGAATGAATGAGTGTGTGGGTTTTCTCCGGGTACTCCAGTTTCCTCCCACAGACCAAAAACTTGCATGTTAGGCTGATTGGTAACTCTAAATTGTCTCTAGGTGTGAGTGAGAGAGTGAATGGTTGTTTGTCTCGTTTGTCTCTATGTTTCTGTGATGGACTGGAGACCTGTCCAGGGTGTCCCCCGCCTCTCACACAGTGACTGCTGGACATGGGCATCTGTGACGCCTGTGACCCAACAAGGAAGAAGCGAGTAAAAATAATGGATGGATGGAAGTTTTATGATCAGGTGAAAAAAAAAAAAGAGCTGTTGGACCCTGATGATAAGAGGTCTGTGTGGATGAGTCAAGTAGACTGTCAAGCATGATGGCTGTAGTACTGGTGCACTGAACAAAAACAATGAAAGAGAGGATCTCTAAATTTAACTGTGCCTCAAGTCAGTCACAGAGGGGAGTGTTAACACCAGTCTGGCTGTTCTGTTATGATTTATACATAAAAAAACATCTGTCACAGCTGGTTTTCTAACAATCACACAACTAAAGGGGTGAGCTGCAGGTCAGCAGTGTCGTGTCTCCAGTCACCTGCATGAGCAGCCTCTCCTTCCGGAGTTTCTTGTAGAAGAGGAGAACATCTGGATTTGCTCGGACCACATAGGGGTCAAAGTCCATGACCCTCAGTCCCTCCAGGCTCCGGGCCCGAGACAAGGCCACGTAGGCCTGACCGCTCTCAAACACTCGGGCCAAAGAGATCTCCACACAGTCCAGAGTCATTCCCTTTAAAACAAAACACAAATTTAATTAAATTAATTTAATTCAAGGATTATTTTGAATATTATGAAGTGGGTTGTGTGAAAAAGTTATGAACCGCTGTGATCTCAGCTGATGTAAATATATATTTGAATGACCAGTTTGGATAAATAAAGTTCACTTTTGACCATAAGTTAATGGTTTGAAAACAGCCAGGACCAAAGTGGATTATTAAAATGTCTCCAGTCTATAAAACTTTCCATCAAATCATGCAAACGCAACCATTTAAACTTCTGTCAACTAATGACCTGTTTTTATATTCCTGCAGAAAACGACTCTGGATTGTAACTCAGTCAATTTAAAGGACATCCATCCATCCATCCATTATCTTTACCCGTTTATTCCATTTTGGGTCACGGGGGTCGCTGGTGCCCATGTCCAGCAATCACTGTGCGAGGGGCGGGGGACACCCTGGACAGGTCGCAAGTCCATCACAGGGACACATAGAGACAAACAACCATTCACTCTCCCACTCACACCTAGGGACAATTTAGAGTTACCAATCAGCCTAACATGCATGTTTTTGGTCTGTGGGAGGAAACCGGAGTACCCGGAGAAAACCCACGCATGCACGGAGAGAACATGCAAACTCCACCCAGAAGGCCCCTGGACCGGGGTTTGAACCAGGGCCTGCTCGCTGAGAGGCAGCAGCTCTACCAGTTGCGCCACCGTGCTGCCCCAATTTAAAGGACATGGAGCTAAATATATACAGTATACAAATCAAATATTATTTGATGTAATAGTAGCTGATATTGATCCTAAATTATAGTTTAAGTGCTAACTAATCACACGATATCTGTGTTTTAAAATGTTGCCGTTAACTACAACTCTGTTAGCAAAATGTCATGAGCTACTGAATAGATTAATACAAATGGATGTTAAAAATTATTAACTTTTGGAACCCATGTTAAAAAGGCTACGTTAGACCACTGCCCTTTACAAAACAAAAATTACTATAACTAACTATAATTTACAGAGACTGAACTAATATTTAATGTAATAGTTAGCAGAGCATCCCCCTGGTGCATAATTTGAAAACAACATAGTTGCTTAAAGCTGTAGAAGAGCATCAGTAAGTTAAATATGTCCACACATCCTGACAGGCATCAATAAATTAAAGAGACCAAAAAGAGACATTTTTATATTTATTCTGTCATAGTTAGCTAAAATTGTCTTTGTAACTAATGTCCAGACAGTATCCTGTCAGTTTTCATTTGTCCCCACCTCATCTGTCTGCAGACATATTGTACAGTGGTCCCTAGTTTATAGCGGGGTTTAGGGAGCAACACCCCCCCACCCCCGATAAGTGAAAAAACACAAAAAGTAGTAGTATGTATACATACATTCATACACACATGCATACATCCTGTGGAACCACCACCTTCAGGACGGGCCAAAAAAGCCATGTGCGTGATGCCATGGGCAGTGGCCGAAAGCAGGGAACCATGGTGCTGACCCTGGCTTACCAAAGCTGCTCCTGGGACATGGAATGTGACCGCTCTGGTGGGGAAGGAGCCTGAGCTTGTGCGCGAGGTTGAGAGGTACCGACTAGAAATACTTTGTAGTTGGGCTCACCTCGACGCACAGCATGGGCTCTGGAACCGATCTCCTTCAGAGGAGCTGGACCTTATTATGTATTGTTTTAAACCCTTCCCATGCTCTTGCCATATTCAAAACAATGTTTCTAAACTCTAAACGCTCATGTTTGCACAGAACGTCATGAACTCAGCTCTGTGCCACGCCCACTTCTCTACTCCAGTCACACTCATCACCTCCCAATCTCCCTCCTCCTGTGTAAATAAACTATTTAAATTTAAATACTGTGATATCTGCATGGATTGTTTATTTAAGATATTACAGTATTTAAATTTAAATTGTAGAGCAGAGATGGGCGGCGGGACATCATAGAGTTAACCCTTCACAAAGCCGATGCAGCACGGAGCAGAAATGTGGGCGTGGCAGAGAGCAGAGATCATGACACGCTGCAGGAGGGAGCTCCTCCCTGCACCTGTGGGCTGCACACAGGTGCTAAATCATTTAAAATAATTGACTTCAAATCAACAATCCATGTTGCTGTGGCTCATCCATCAATCAGTCAGCTGTGTGTCATGTCCGATCTTACTTTCAAAAACTGCCAAAGAGCGAGTCCCCGAAAGTTGAACCATGAAGTAGTGAGGGACTACTGTACACTGATTGCTCCAACACCAGATTTCACTACAGAACTCTGACGAACTTCGAGGCTCTAGTAAAATATGAAAACACGGCAAAGAGCAGCAGCCTGTTTCTACTCCTTTAACTTTAAGCTCCATTACCAGAGGCAGGAAAAAGAACGTCACTGAAAAAAGCCATGTTTGTTATTCCCATTTGTAGCAATAATTGTGATTTATTTTTTTTACCAGTTAGTGAAAAAGCACCGCGACAGCTCAACTGCATTGTTCAGCTGAGGGTGACAAGGAGCATTCATGAGTCTTACAGGCTGGGGCTCTGAGGTGATGGGGGCAGAGATGTTGGTCCATTAGGACTCAAAATATAACTTTCTCTTGAGTTTGGGAAATTATTAATAATTAATGGACATCTACAATGTCTTAGTTGGATTTTGTTGAGCTAAAATATGGTGTGGCAGTAGCTGAGAATCTTCCACAACAAATTCTTTTGACCACTTACAGATCATTAAAAAATCACGCAAGATATCGCATGCAACATTATTATAATGCATCTTTTCTCAACAAAAGATGATCTCAGTCTAAAGCACAGTGACATGAAAGGTGGTGGGCGATTATTTAAAGGAACGTTAGACCATTAATTTTATCTGCTTGAATCCAAACCCAAGGTAGAAAACAGGTTCCTCAACGTTTAAAGGCCTGCATGTTAGAAAAACCAGTGAATCCAGTTTGACGATCGCACACGTCTGTCTCTGAGCAACGCTGATCCTAAATGAGTTGAAGAGAGCAGAAAGAGTGACTGGATGGACGTGCGATGCATTCCTATGTTCCTGGACATCTAGCTGTGGTTATGACCAATGAATTCAGTCACATCTTTCCTTTCTTCAGGCCATTATCGATTCAGGGTGAGGATATAAAGACGGCCGTGGCAGCAGAGGGTGACACGTCACAGTGGTTGCTGGGAAGTCTCTAACCTGAGCTTTATAGTCATTTCCTTTCCAAACATGGTTGTTGTTACTAGTCTCACCCGCCAGACTCCCCCTGTGTTCAGTTTGATGTGAAAACTGCCAGAAGAAACCGTGTTGACAATTCTAATTTAGATCCTTCTTGCACATAGAAGAGTGGCGACAGGAAATAAGGAAAAGAAGGGTAAACCGTACAAAGCACAGGAGATTGGACGGGAACATGACTAATTCTCCATCACGTCTGTACTCTGTGCCAGCAAAACAACAAACGTTTGTTGATTGAAGGCAGTCAATCGGTGCAGCCATGTTATAAAGTTAATCTTAGCAGGTTTTTGCTGTTAAAGAGGCAAAATAGCATCTGCCTGATCTGCCATTTAACACATCCAATTTGAGATTAGTCTTTTTAAGGAGTAGCTGATATAATGGTTACTATAAGAAAAAACATCTGTATCGTTTGTATCAACACTATTATTTGACATAATCTGGAGTCCTTTTCTGCACTGTACAGTGTGGTGGATTATTCTGGACTGAGCACTGCAGAGGGTGTTTTCTAATGTTGTTTTTTTGTTCTCATTTGTTGTTGCAGACTTATGGTGAAAAATAGATGACACAAGAACGGCTTTATGTCAGTCAGTTTTACAGATACTGAACTTAAAGCAAGATGAAATGAAGACTCAACACAATCGGATGGCTTCCTTCCTTAGATAAGATTACTCATTGAATATTTATATGTGAATGTTTCAGTTCAGTTCCCTGAGATGACTTCTGTGACTTGGTGCTATATAAATAAATTGTAAAGATATCGAGTCAAACTCAAGGCCCGGGGGCCAAATGTTGACATCGTATCTGGCCCCCCAAGATGAAATGTGAAACGTAAAATACTTCTGTCTCTTGGAATTGTTCCAGTGATCTTTGATTATGATGTTGAAAGCACAACAGAGAACATCAAATGAGACCAGTCAAACTCTTGTTGAGGAACCTGTGACCAAGGAAAGATGCTGGGTATCTGATTGAGTTTATGTAGATTCTGAAATTGGCCCTTAGTTTGAAAAAGGGTTTAATTTGACCCTTTTTGTAAGTGAGTTTGACACCCCTAAACTGAAGTCATTCAAAGAGCTACAGTACTGAGGGCAAAAGATTACTGTATGTTCCAGACTTTAAGTTGCACTTTTTTCACAATTTGGCCAGTCCTGCGACATATAGTCCAAAACGACTCATATATAATGTTTTCACTATTCATGAAGCAATTTTTGACTGACGCCTTAAATGTTCACTCATACTGACATAAACCAGAGAGTAAACATCACCACTTGCAGCTGCAAGAGGGCCCTGTAGACTTTTGATAACTAGATGTTGTTCCTCTTCTGTTACGCCACCCCCCACCCATCTTCCTCCGGAGTTGGCGGAGTTGTTCAGAGGCGACACTGTGGATGGTAACTTTCTTGTGGGACTTGTTGACATGTTAAGATAATTAATCCCGTTCAGGATCCCAGGTCTGTTCTGTGTGTTACTGTTATTCCAGATTAAATGTCTGTTCTTGCACTTTGTGACATACACGTCTAAATAACTGCGACTTATACTCCGAAGAGACTTGTACAAGGTTTTGTCCTCATGAGGTATTTTCTGACTGATGCGACCTATACTCCAGAGTGACATATAATCCAGAAAATACAGTCACTGATCATAACGTTTCCACATGTTCCACATTTTCAAGGTGACCAGACTATTCCTCTAACACAACTTTTGATTGAGTCTTGTTTGTTTTTTCCAACTCCTCCGTTCTGCAGTGGTTACTTCTTGATTTTACAGATGTTTGGTGCTGGAGGTTATTCCTTACACAACCTGAGCTGGAAGCTGCAGCTGAAGATATTAGGGCTGACCACCGAGCTGCTGCGGCCCCCTGAGACTTGTTGTAACACGCCGTTTCTTTTCATTTATTCAGTGGTCCTGCCATGTTCATGCTCTTCATAATGCTGGTGAAGATTCTCAGTCATCCAGGACATGATGAATTCAAAAAGCGTTCAATACAAAAACAACTGGACTTTATTTGTAACAGAAGACGTTTCGATCCTCATCCGAGGAGCTTTCTCAATTCAAAGAGCAGAGAGTGAGAGATACAGGTTATAAGGCTGAGTGAGATAAGACACACACACACACACATATGTAGATTGGCAATTCACACCTAAAAACCTTAACAGTAAGTCTTTTGTTCCTCTAATTCACAGACGAGGCCCCTCTGTTCCCATCAGGTGTGAAAAACGGCTGGAAATCTGTTTTAAAGTTGCATTATATGTTTTTGAAAGTGGGAATCTGAGGCCTCCTCCTCTGTTAAGAGACGGCTTTTCTCTTTTTACATAAATTGCTTCCTTCACCCCCCTCTCAAACCATCTGTGTTCTCGGTCCAAAATGTGCACATTTTGGTCCTCAAAAGAGTGTCCCTTATCTGTGAGGTGGAGGTGAACAGCTGAATCTTGTCCTGTGGAGCTGGCTCTCCTGTGTTGAGCCATGCGTCTGTGAAGAGGCTGTTTAGTTTCTCCAATGTAGAGGTCTGGACAGTCCTCGCTGCACTGGACCGCATACACTACACCACTCTGTTTGTGTATGGGTGTCTTGTCCTTAGGGTGGACCAGCCTCTGTCTGAGAGTCCTGCTGGGTTTGAAATGTACTGGGATCTTGTGTTTGTTGAAGATCCTTCTGAATTTCTCTGATACTCCAGCAACATAAGGGATGACAATGTTTTTACGTCTGTTGTTCTCCTTTTTC